TGTTGCGATTTTTCCCGTGGCATCCCTAATCCTGTTAGTATGGGTTTCCTCTCTTCTTTTTTTAATTAATCTTGCCAACGGTCCATCAATTTTATTTATTTTTTCAAAGAACCAGCTTTTTTTTGGGTTAATTTTGGCTATAATTTTCTGATTTTCTAATTGGTTAATCTCTGCTCTTAATTTGGTTATCTGGCTCTGTCTAGTAACTTTAGGTTCCATTTTTTCTTGTTTTTCTAGCTGTTTTAATTGTAACATGAGATTATTTACTTGGTCTCTTTCTATTTTCTTGATGTGGGTACTGAGGGCAATAAATTTGCCTCTCAGGGCATTTAGATACTTTTAAAATATCTGGAGATAGCTGTGTTTCAGAAGTGATTTCTTACCCACCCTCCGTCTCGCCCATCCTTCTTTCCTTTATTTTGTCATTTCTCTTTTTCTTCTTTTCTTTCTTCTTTCTTTTCTTGGTGATACTAGGGTTTGAAATGAGGGCCTTGCACTTGCTGTTTACTATCTTTGCCACCAGCCCTTTGTGCTGTTTAAGTTATTTTTTGGATAGGATATTCTATTTATGGTTGCACTTGTCTAGACCACAATCCTGCGCCTTATACCTTCCGAATAACTGGGTACAGGTGCACATCATTATACCTAGCTAATGGACTAAGATGGAGTATCTAACTTTTTTTTTGCCTGGGTTAACCCTGGACCATGATTTCCCAGTCTCCACATTTCAAGTAGCTAGGATGTGAGCCACTGTACTCAACTCAAAAGTGAATTTTAAAAAATTATTTATTTATTTTTTTGTCAGTCATGGGGCTTGAACTCTGGACCTGAGCTCTGTCCTTGAGCTCTTTATCTCAGGGCTAAGTGCTCTACCATTTTGAGCCACAGCACCACTTCCGGTTTTCTGGTGGTTAACTGGAGATAAGAGTCTCATGGACTTCCCTGCCCAGGCTGGCTTTGAACTGCGATTCTCAGATCTCGGCTTCCTGAGTAGCTACGATAATTATTTGCCAATATGACTTAGAAAA